TATATATATACAAACATGTACACTTTTTAAAGATGAACCACCATCACATTCTTCCCACTTCCTCTCTTTGTTTCCCGTTTTCTTTCCTCTTCCTTTCCTGTCCCTTTCTGCTTTTGGAGATTCCCTCCTAGGCAAATGCTACCCTTCTGATTACATACTTTTGATTGTTCTAAGGAGCGCATACATTCTTGGTGATATTGTTTGCCTTAGCCCTTTCTACCCATTGACTAAAGGTCGAGCCGGAGGGGTGTCTGCAGCTCCAAGCCTGAAGGATGTCTGTAGTAAGCTGTGTAGGGGACATGGTTGATCTTCTTTGACTTCCCTGTTGCCACGCGGCAGGGGGTCAGACCTGCGTCCCACCTCCATCCTTCTTTACCTATTTATTCTACTACCAACCATTCCACCACCCCACTCGACATCTATATAGGGCTCAACAGTTCATTGTAATGGCCACACAGAACTCACAGACAAGAATTACTATTAAGGAGGTTTATGGGGTCATTAATAGGTTACCAAAAGTCAGGCTCAGTAAGCAGTAAGGCTACGGTCATTGATCTAAAGGCCAGAAACCAAGTCTCTTGTTGGTCCTCAGCAGATCAGCCACCTGGTCTCTTGGCCTGCCTTCCTGGACCAGGAAGCCCTCCTGTCACTCTGTCTCACAGTCCCATAGTCCCAGTGCTTCTCCTTTTGTTCTGTCCCATGGTCTCCGTGCCTCAGTCTCTGGTGCCACTGGTCTTGGCCTCTACCATTTCAGACAGAGATCTGGAACATGCTCGTCAGATAGCCCTGGGCTCCTCTCTGTGTGCTGCTGCATCCGAGATGGCTTGTCCTTACAGCCAGGGTGTGGGTTATGAAAACTGACCAATGCCCTCCATTAGTGTTACATTTGCCTTGTTTGCCTCATCTGCCTGGTTTGCATAATCCCACCTAATCACTTGTTGGAAATTACATAGGCATGAGTAGAAGCGCCACACTATGCAATTTCACACACCCTATTGCCCACCACATTGCAACAATGGGCTCAAGCATAGAAATAATTGTGCGGATGACCCAGGACCAGGCAATGTTTCGCTCTGTTATACATAAAGTCACTCTGGGTTGGAACCAACTCGATGGCACCAAACAACGACAATACACTGTCTAAGGGCCATGGTCCTAGTGATTTCTATCAGATGATGTAAAAGTTATCTGCGCCAGATGTTTGGCTGCCTCTTGCTTCACAAAGCTTCAAGTTGTCATCAGTATCCAAAGTCCAAGACTGATTCCTATGAGGTAGGAACCAATCTCCAACCTTTTTACCAATTCGGATATCAGCCATCCCTCCCGGATAATTCTCTATTTCTTTGCTGAGTATGAAAAAATATATATATAAAGCTACTTATTGACCACTAATCAGCAGTATTTTCAATAATGTAAACAATATGCCATTGGATTAACAGTCTGAGTACTATAAAGTTGTTTTTCTTGGCTTCAGCTGAACTAGAGTAACGCAAATGCTGAAAAGATGGAGCCCACGTGTAAACAAGGGGCTGGGGGAGGGGCCCTGGGGCTCAGTGGTTCCCCACAAAGAATGGGCCGGGGTCAAACACAAACCACGAAGGCCAATCGGCGAGGCACACGGTTGTTCACCCATTCATGGCAGTGGGTCCTGAACAGCAACATCGCTGGCCATCTCATGGTTTGTACCAGCGAGATCATAAGACATTTCAAGAGTCCGGAACATTGGGATTTCAATTTTCTATGAAGAAATGGTTCTCTAAAAGCAACAAATGCCTGCTTAACTAAGCGTTGCTTGGCTTATTAAACATTCCTATTGTCTCGTTTTCCTATTTAAGTGGGAAGGTTTTGAGTAACAATAAGATTTTTTCACTTGGGAAATTTTTGCAAATAAATAGTCTCATGTATATGCTTCTAGAAGTATGGATTTTGAAACCTAGAGGTATGGATTTTTAAAAGTTGTCCAGTTAATTACTGGATCATTTACTTGATTTGAAATCTTATGACTTACAAGTTTTTTCCCATTTTACTTGAGGTGATCTCTATCTTGTGCCACTCAGATGGATAGCACGCCTGTGCAACATCAAGATGCTTGTGATGGTTACGTGCCATTTTGCTTGGAAGAGTTTCACTTTGGGTGAATGTAATAGAAAATAAAATGTACATACATGTGTGTATATGTACACATACACACACAAACATGCACACACACACACAGGACCAAAAATGACAGTGTGGTCCTTAGGCATACATTATGGGTTAAACAAGTTCTAATGGGTTAAACAAGTTCTAATTCTTTCTTAGGGTCATGAGCTCCTCCAGTCTGCCTCTGGCTTGGTTCATTTTAAGCATAGTGTAGCCAAACTGACCAATCTCATGTTAGGGTTCCATATATCTTATTTGCATGGCCCCACCCTCATAAATATTCACATTATCAGAATACTATCCTATCCATTTGATGGATTACAAGCACTTCGCATTTGCGTAGTCCTACCCGGTCATTTGGAAGACATTACAAAGAACATAGCGAAAAGGGTCATATTAAGTAATTTCTTTGGATCACAGACCAGTAAGCCTGGCCTTTTTCCCATTTTGAGTTTGGGTGCACACTTTTTGCCCACGCTATTGTGATCCCTTTTCGAGTGGTCCGCAGTGGTGGCGAGGTACCATCTAGTTCCTCGTGTCTTGGGAGTGTGCAGGCTGAGGATTATCAGTCTTTGGGCTAATTAAGACACTGTGATTTTTGTTTCTAGCATTTTAGGGTTCAGTTAATATGTTGTTGGAATATGAGAGCCTTCCTTTTTGGAAGTCCAAACATTGAAAAACAAATTGTGAAACCCCATGACACTGAAAATGATTGCCTCACAATACCCAACACCCTCCACTTCCGTCTCTAGAGATTTCTTCATATCCGAGGGCATCATCCGTGTGAACAAGTTGACATTTAAATGACGACAAACCTAAGAGATGTTTTCAAAAGCCCCAAATAATTTATCCTTAAAGATGATGAATTTGTCCATACATGGAATGAATTTGCCACAGATATTTTCACTCATCGACTCTTTGGAAAGTTTAATTCCAAAATATTGTTTTCTTTCATGTCAAGCAGAGTTGTAAAGAACACAGTTGTTTTGTCACAGCTAGTCCAGTCTTTGAGTATGTGGAAAACAGAGGGAAAGTGGGAAGACTCAGCTCTAGTAATTTACAAACAACACAAGAATCATCACAGTGCTGTTAGTCTTGCTGCCATTACACTGGCCGTGAGTACATGTCCGTTTCTTTGGCAAGGGCAAGGCAGACCAAATAATCGCTTCTATTTGTAGAAAGCATGAGAATTTCAAAGTACATTAGCTATCTTATAGTCGATAGATAGAGCCCAAAGAGTATGCTATTTCACACTGAATTTTAATGTTTCATCTAGCAAGTGATTTTTAGTATTTGCTTTATTAGCTCTTATTGTTATCATTATCATCTACTTTGGTAATTGGTATATTTTCAGTACAGCGCAGAGGGCCGGGCACACGAGAGGCACTCAACACGTATGTATTGAATGGACGAATAAACGGATGATGTAAGGCGTTAGCAAAGAGATAAACGTGGCTCCATGAAAATGAATACTTCTGCCCTTGTTTTCCTATACATAAGTAATAAATATCGCACTTGCTGATGAACTCTATTTATTCTCTTTCAGATCCTTCCTTGTTCAGACTTCACTCTTCTAGTGCTACTCCCTCGACCAGCCCGGTTCGAGCCTAACTTCTGATGGATTGCGGATGTTCTCCATATAGGTGCTTTTGCTGGCCTTTGTAACCTTTTCAGAAAGTCTTGCTGACTGTGAAAGCTTTCTTGCGAAGGGATGAGGATTCTGATAGCCATTGTGTCCTGTGTCGTGACTGAAATGTGTGACAATGAGCCAGGCCTTTATCCTCCTGTTGCCTCTGTTTATCCATCTAACAAATGAGAGCAACAATGCGCATGCGTCTGGTATGGAAATGATTGCCAAAGATTTTGTGACCCAAGCAAGGAAGGTGAGGCTTCAGTTGCTACAGGTGTTTCCCTTTGAGTAATTACCCATTCAGGTACTTGAGCACGTTCAGGGACAATGAGCAAAAGAAGCAGGGATTGTCTTACAGGTTTTAATATATTCTTCATTTCTACTTCTTAATTTAATATATTCTTCGATATTATCTTAATGTGTTAACTTTACATCTGATTATTAGTTAAACTACAGTCACAAATTAGAGACTATGTAGTCTAATGCTATCTAGAGTGTGTCCCCACCCCCACCGTGGGATCTTGCCATCTGTCCACATAGGCCCCAGCTCTCCCTGGTTTCTCCTGGTTTCGATTCAGGAATCTGAACCCACATCTTTGCCTCTGTTAATGAAATAGGACACAAGGGCCAGTTGGTCGAATGTTCCATGAGAACTAAAATCCTCAACACCTGATGAGTTTTTGTTCCTATCCACTATGAGGTCTCCCATTCATTCTTGTAGATGGAGCTATTTTAAGGTAACTTTCTAGGAGTTCCTGGATGTTTCAAATGACTAATGCCCTCAGTTGCTGACTGAAAGTTTGAAGGTTCCAGCCTACCCACAAGTGACTCAGAAGAAAGACCGAAGGACCGCTGTGAACAACGTGTCATTGAAAACCACACTCAGCACAGGTCTACTCTCATACTCATGGGCCCCAGGCCTCACAATGGACTCCATGGGAACTGCCTGACAATAGACGCAATGACAACTTTGCAGTAATCACTGGAAGTTTAAGCATCTGTGCTGTCTTATAGTTCATACTGTTTTTTCCATTATCATTTCTCATATAATAAATAAAGCCTTCTGAGATTTATCTTGTCAAACATAAATTCGATTGCTTGCAAGCTTTCGAAGCATTTTAGAGCAGTGTGTGTGAGTGTGTGAGTGTGTGTTGGGGGAGGGGGGAGTGACATTCCCTAATATGGCTCTTTTATCCACTTCTCTGTAACTCCCAACAATGATTGGGGGGTGGTACTGTGCAAACGGGGCATGTGTAACACTTAGAGGGGGATGGGTCACTTTTAGTTGCCACTCCCTTGAAAATAAGGATGAGTGAGCAGCCGTAAGAGAAAGAGACCCCAGGAGCATTGGGCGAGAGGCAGAGCCCAGAGGTACCAGCAACCCAGACCAAGAGAGCAAACTAAGGGGTACGTGTATAGACAATGAGACTGTGAGGGGGAGCGGGGGCCTAAAGCTTCCTGGCCCACAGAGGCTCAAGGTGGCTGAGAGACTGAGCACTGGAGAGAGCCTTGGCTGCTGGCTGAGGAGAGGTGTTGCTGTGGACCACTGATTGTGTCCTTCCTGTTTCCCAATCCTGGACTCTGGTAACCTGTTACTTTACCTAAGCCTGATTCCAGATGCATTGCCATTGAGTCCGTTCCAACGTTTAACGACCCTACTGGACAGGGTAGAACTGCCCCTCTGGGCTTCCCAGACTGTAACGCTTTAGGAGAGCAAAATGCCTCATCTTTCTCCAGCCGAGGAACCTGTGATTTCAAACTGCTGACTTGCTGTTAGCAGCCCCACACAGACTCTCTGTGCCACTAAGGTTCCTAATTTACCTAATAAACCTCCCTTATTGTGAGCAACACACAAGTCACCACTTGTGTGTCAGTTTATCATATGGTGGTGGCTTGTGTGTTGCTGTAATACTAGAAGCCATATCATTGGTATTTCAAATGCTAGCAGGGTCACCCAAAGTGAAAAGCAATCTCTGTAGCTCCCAGACTAAGAACCAGTGGCACAGAATGAGTAAGTGCTACGGATGGTGTTAGGCACAGCCTGGAAACATTGGCAGATACTGAAACAAAAACTCACAACCAGTAAGGAACATCAGAATAAACAGAGAAAAGATTGAAGTTGGCCAAGATTTCACCTTGCTTGGATCTATAATCAATGCTTATAGAAGCAGCAGTCAAGAAATCAAACAATGCATGGCATTGGGTATATCTGCTGCACAAGACCTAAAGTGCTGAAAAGCAAGAAGATTACTTTGAGAACTGAGATACCCCTGATGCAAGCTATGGTATTTTCAATTGCCTTATGCATGTGGAAGTTGGCTATTGAATAAGGAAGACTGTGTGTGCGTGCGTGCGTGTGTGTGTGTGTGCTGGCCAAGAAGATGGAAAGTACCAGGGACTTCCGACACACTTGGTCAGTACTCCAGAAAACCAGATTGAGAATTTGGAATCTGCTCCCATGGATTGTAACTAGTCTCCAGTCACTAAGGAAAAATCAAAACA